CCCACCTGGTTAAACAGCTTATGGAGATGGTAAYAGAATACATTCTGTTTTGGTTACACCTTCCATGTAACCTAAGACATATATCTGCTTGGACACCTTAATTGAAGATATTTCATTTTGCTTGACATTTCCATTGAAGTGGCAGGTTGAATACAACTTTCATCACAAATGTTTCTTTTCAAACTTGGAGTTAATTCACAGTTCATGTGGAAACAGTGGGCTTCCCTAAAACATGGCCTTTTTTGTCCCAACATTCGCAACATTTCCCTTTCACAAAGTGCGAAAACAAAGTTTATCTTGAACAGTATGAAAATCCAGCAAGAAAACAGCCTATTCCTGCTTTCTAAGGAGCAATACAAAGAACCTTGCAGTGATCAGAGGTTACTCCATATTTCTGTTTCTGCCCAGGAACTAATACTTCATGTTCACAAGATGAAGGACAGTCTAATACCAGAGACTTTGAAGTCTATGTGGACAAAACTGTAGTTATGGAAACAGCTGGCTGGACCCCTCCAACTCTCAGTTGCTGCTGAAAAATCTGATTACCTGCAGTTCCTGTCCCCAGCAGCCCCTGCTCAGCACCTGGTTTTCATTTTCGTGGCTCTTGTTGCCTCACTCTGAGCTTTTCCAGGAGGACATATACWGCCCTGTAGGGATAGCACAGAGCAGATAGAAGGATACTGCAGTCTCCCAGCTCTGCTAATGATTTRCATGTGTGCAATCCTGCAATTGCTGATGCTGCCCCTTTTCATAGGCATCATAGCTGTGATGGAGACCTGAAAAGCTTTAAACCATGAGCATTTTGTTCTTAAACATCTTCAGAAGGATGAAGAGCATTTAAAGGACTTCATAGCTGAAGTATTTTCTACATGTTCTTCCCCTTCCTCACAGGATTATGGCTTGGATGTTGCTGCCTTCCAAGGAATGATCAGCGAATGCCCCAAGCAGGTGATGGACCTCGCTGCTAGCTGTTGTCGGGTGAGATTCTTGCTAGCTTTGGGACTTYTTTTTACTTTTGATTTTATTGGATTTGTATTATACTTGTATGACAGAGACCAAAATTGTTGTGAACCCTGGAGAGCTTGAAGCTGCTGCTCTCAGTGCACAGGGCTCTTCCACTTGAGCTGTAAAGGGAGGAAATCTCCCTGGACCAGCAGTATGCTTTCATCCAGCATGAAATTTTGTCCCTAGAGTAGTTTATGTATCATGGCCTGAGACGTCCCTTTTCTCTTTTATGCTGGCCCAAATTGAGAAGCATGTTGGTGGTAATATCTAGTCCCTCCTTTAGCCAGGCTGCAGGCTGAGGGCTACCTGGCCAGCCCTCTCAGGCTGGCATTGTCTCACTGTTACCTGGTGTTACAGATGTCATCAGGGCACAGTTCTCCACCCTTTCTCACTTTAGTACAAAAGGTAATGGTGAAATCTGGGGGCCCTCCCCAAGTTTTGGGGAGCTGCCCAAAGCGTCAAGAGGCAAAGCAGTGAGAAAGTGAGGATTCAAGTTAATCTGTGAAAAGAAGAGAAAAAACAAGTCATCAGGTGATCATAATGAACCYAACTGCAGGGAGCTCAAAGCAGGARACTRAAGCAAACCTTTGCCTGAGTCCTGAGGTCATGTGAGTGAGAAACATGCCCTGTGTCACAGCAGTGATTTATGTTGGCCACTAGATACGATTTATATGTTCAGGTCTTGTATCTTGGACAGCYACATCCTGATGCATGTTGGTACAATAATGGGCTCTTGTCAGACATGACACTTGGGGCTGTTTTTCTCTGGCTGTGTGTGATGTGCAGCTTTGGGGACTTTCTGGGGCAGCTCCCCAGCTGTTCCATGGGGTTAGGCACAAATGGCAGCCCCAGGAAGGCACAAGGTGGGGTTCAGGATGGGGACATCTGTGGCTGTGCCTCTCACTTTTGGTACATCCCAGTGACACCAAAGACAAGTTGTATCAAGGAGACAAGACAGATTCTGACTTTTGTGAAAAAGTTCAAGGAACAATTCATCTCCCGCTACACCTTCCTGCAATCTTGCCCTTAATGGCATCTTCGTCTGCACTGTTTGGATGGGCTTTGAGATGACCAATGCCCATACCTTGTACTAGAGCTGCCCTGCACCACAGGCCCTGGCCTGCAGCTGCTTGTTTGCAGCTGGATGCCATGGGACAGATGCCAGGAAGGCTGCACGGCAGGCATGTGACCCAGATCAGTGCTGATGSTGGATGGATGCCACTGCTCAGCCTGGGGGGAACTGGCAGAACTGATGCAGAGCACCCTCCTCTTGTCTGGGTTGTCCTCATCAGMTTTCCATTCTCGTTCCAGGTGGAAGCATTTAAAAGGCCGTGTTTCTCCAAAATCATGGATGAGTTGGAGAATGTCACAGAGACCCTGGAACCCAGGAGGGACAATCAGCTTTTGGGCTGAGCTGTCTGCCTCCTTTGAGTCTTGGCAGAGATACCCAAACTGTAAGTTACCTCTCTGGGGGGTCAAGAGTAAAGAAAGGAAGTGGGAGTGGGAGGAAATAAGTGATGTGGTTTTTATTTAATCACAGTCTTTGTCTCTTMATTTCTTGGATAGAAAAYTGGTTAAAAATTAAGGGAYTTAGCCAGGRTGYATTTTTTCTTAACTGAGGTTTTTTAAAGTTGTAATTGGGACACCAATTTGTCTGAATGCTTGTTAAAATTATCCTGGAGGGACCCAAATTCCCTTTTCCTTCTCAAGTGTTCAACAGACACATTCTGCTCTTCTGCTTCCCTGTGCCCCTGGACACAGAACCTTCCCTTGTCCATCTCCATGGCCTTGGAGAATCACCTCTCGAGGGATTGTAGTTTGTGCAGTGGGAAAGAGATGCATTTTGGAGTGCTTGGTGAGCCTCAGAGTGTCCTTATATTTAAAAGCCTTAAAGCACCTGTCCCTTGCAGGAACAAGTTCACTCTACAGGTCTCTGTCTGAGTCTCCTAGCATTGCACTCAAGATGTACACAGCCATGAACACATCTAGGAAGGTTTTGGCAAGTCAGCCAGGCCACCTGCAGGGTGCTGATGTGTGCCAGCCAAGGCAATGACAAAGGTGTGCCTTATCAAAATATGAACTTGTGGACTGATTGTTGTGGTTTGAAAACTGGCCAAATGCCAGGCACCCACAACATCTGCTCACTTGCTCTCCTCTACCATAGCTCGGCAGAGGAGAGGGAAAAAACCCCAATAATTAACACAAGGATTCATGAGTTGAGATAAGGAACCATGAGAAAAATGGTCTAAGGACAAAACAGGCTCAACTTAAGTTGCAAAGTGAATTTATTACTAACAGAGTCAGAGGAGAATAATGAGGAGTAAAATAAACCCTAAAGACACTGTTCTTCCCCTCACCGCCTCCCTCCTTCCCACCGATAGCGCAAGGTGGTAACAGGACATGGGATTTTGGTCAGTTCATCACCAGGATCTTATTCCGCTGCTTAGGGGGAGGAGTCCTTCCTCTGTGTCACTGTGGGGTTCCTCCCACAAGCAGACAGTCATCCCAAAACTTGCTGATGGCGTGGGGTCCCTTGTCCACAGGGTGCAGTCCCGAGGCCAGGCTGTTYCATCTYGGGAGCAAAGCCTCTCTCTCCATGGGTCTCCTGAGGACCACAGTCCCCTTTGCCACATCTGCCCCCTCTGGCATGGGGCACCTCCTCTACGGGCTGCCGGTGGATCTCTGCACCCTCTGTGGACCCCATGGGCTGCAGGGGGACAGCCTGCTCCACCATGGTCACCATGGGCTGCAGGGGGACAGCCTGCTCCACCATGGTCACC